AAATATATGTATTAAATTTTTTAAAATGTCGAATAGATAGCGCTTATTTAAAAAAACGCTGTCTAAATTTATGACAATAGATAGCGCTTTTTAAAAAAAACGCTATCTATGGATCTATTTTAAATTATGAATAAAAAAAAGTAATATTAATTATATATAAATAGCGCTTTTCCACAAAAGCGCTATCTATTGTCATAGGTTTAGATAGCGCTTTTTTAAATAAGCGCTATCTATTGTTCTGAACATTCATAGATAGCGCTTATTTAAAAAAGCGCTATCTATTAAGCGCTATCTATAGCCCATTTTGTAGTAGTGAAAACAGTGGGTGGAAACCAAGTGTCAGTAGGAGAGAGGGACGTTCGTTTTCAACAGTGGAGCAAAACTGAGTTTTTCAGAAAAACCCTTCATTTTCCTCTGCATACATCTTCTTTCCAGAAACTTGATCTTTCATCTTCCTCCGTCTTCTCTCTAGAACCATTCTCCTTCTCTCTTCTGCAACTTACCATTTCTTACTCCGATCAACATTCAGGCACCGTGGAAGCAGTCCCGGAGTCATAAGCTACGATTTGAACCGAACGGTTTTTGATTCTGAAACGGGTAAGTTTCACGTTCTCAACTGTTCTTCTTTATCAACATGCAAGCCTAAATCTGGACTGCATGCACCTTATCTGAACCAACCTTGGTTTTCTGTAATTTTAGCTTGAAGAGTTAGATAGAGCGTTAAGAGTAGAAGAGAGTCTTACTGAAAAACTGATTTTCTGTCTGAAGAGCGTACGCACATTTCTAATCCGGGTAAGGGAAGCTTATTAAATTTAATTCTTGTATTGTACTGAAATGTATGAATGTTCTGGGAATTATATGCGTTGTACTGTATGAACGTTCTGTAAATTTGTATGCAGTATGATTTTTGATATTGGATGTTTGGTTTATGATTTTGATTTGATGCATGAGAAGTATGGAATATACTATGATATGATTAAGTAAATGTATGAAAGTTTATACTGGAAAATGAGTTTACTGTAAGTGAGAAATTTAATATGAGATTTATATGATAATACACGTTCGTTATTGAACGGTCCTTGACCGTTCGGTATTCTTTGCAACTTATTTGAAGAACTGAATTCTTTCATTTGGAAAAAATTCTATTCGAGGACGAACGCCCTCTTGTATTAATTCTACGCTTGAGCGTTCGGCCAAACGTAGATATCTTGAGTGTTGGGTGAGGAATTGAGAAGCTTGAAATTTTACATTTGGACACTTAACCATTTTGTTAAAATCATGAATGTAAACATCTCATCTTATATAAATTCCATGTTTTATGATTTTGAATCAGCGATGGGTCTCGACCCAAAGCGTACGTCCTAAGTGGCGCTCGGTCTTATACCGAACGCTCGTCTCAATGCGTATGTTATAAAGGAACGCTCGGTCCTATACCGAACGTTCGTTCTTCCCGTAATTTCCAACGAGCTGAAATAGCGTTCGTCCTAAAACTTAATTAGCGTTCGTCCTAAATTTCAGTAAATTCGAGTACCGCGTTCGGTTATTTACTGGCAGTCGGTTATTCTAACTAAATTGTACTTAGTACATTTAGTACTCGTTGTTGTTATCTTCATTCAGTTGGATTGACTCTGAATCTTGGTCTTTGAATTATTCTAAGTATAAGTTGAATCGTTCTAGAGTCAGTTCATTTAACTGATTCGAATTGTAATGACATTCGTCATGAAAGATGGGCCAGCTTTATCCCTTCGGAAAAGAAGTTCTTTCAGTCTCACTCTCGACGTTCGTCCTAGTTATGAAGAGGATTGAACGCTCGTCTTTTTATGGAAGTGGAACAAAGAATGAAAATGTTAATAAAAGGATGTATTATGATGTGCGAACAGTTCAAGAGATGAAATTATGTTTGTGGATTTTGAACGAGCGTTCCAGGGAGGAACGACTCTTGGATGAAAATTGAGATTTGTAAAGTATGAATGTGGTAAGCTTAGCTGGCGGGTCATCCTGATATTCCGTGAGTGCTCGTTCTCAAGTAGAGAGGAGTATGTCATGTGTGGGAATGGCAGGAGGTCTTAGTCCATAACTATAACTTGGACAGAACGGACTAACCTCAGGTGGCAGCTGACGAGTATTCCAGTTATCCCACCTGGGTGCACGGACGTCGTAGCTACACAGAATTCATACAGTCCGGACGGTCAGTCTAGTATCAGGAATTTGACTGAGTTAACGAATGAATTGAACGTATGTGTTGTAACTTATTTGATGTGTTTGATATGTATGAAATGTATGTTTTACTTGAATTAAATTCAATAAGCTTACCCTTGCGTTTTCCATTGTGTTGTCTGTATATGTATGTCCGTCTTGTCCTTGCAATGATCATCCGTGTGGATGTGAGCAGAGGGAGATGCGTCTCTGGAAGAAACGCTTGAAGAAGGATTCATTGCTGAAGAAAATCTTGTGGAGGTTGAAGTAAAGGCCGAACAGTAGCGCGTTCGGTTACAATGTTAGCATAGTTAAGTTAGTGGGCCGTTTTAGAACGAGCGCCCTTTTGCTATAGTTGAATAGTTGTACGTTCGGTATTTATTTTTTGTAAACCGTTCGTCCTTATTACTTTTTGAGCGCTCGTAAACTTTTGTGTATTTATGTAAGGCCGTTCGGCCACTTGCTAGAATTATCTCCTTATCTGTAAGACTGTTTTGTTATATTAATACATGTAAATATTCTATTATATAGTTGCTGACTTTATAATTTTGGGATGTTACATAATGAAAGAAGCATTTATAACTTATTACGTCAAAATGAAAGAACCTTGGATAGGTTATTTGTTTCCCTAAGAACGTTTTAGTTTTATTTTTCTTTTTTATTTATTTAAGCTTTCTTAGTCATTCCACCTCACAAATATTACTAATCCATTTTTTAAAAGAAATCTAACAACTATGTTCATCTTCTTTATTTGAAAAAAAGTTTGTAGAAAGCAAATTTAAATATTTGTATTAAATTAAACCACCTTAGGGTTGTTCCGTGGTGTGAATTACAATTAATTTGAAACAAAATTTCTACAAATCTAAAAGTTGAATTGATTAAAATTTGGATAACAATGTGAGCAGTTGGAAAGGTGATTTGAAATGTGAATTAGCAATGACACCTTATTTTGTCAAACTATCATTCTAACTCATTAAAAACATACAATTACATTTCCAAATTTTTTCTAAAACTCATAATATGCATATTAAAAATTAATTAAAAAACACGACACATAAATAATATTAAAATCATGTTATTATAATGCGACTTCAATATTAAAAAAATAAAAACAAAATAAAAACAACTAAAGTCTTTAACGACTTGAGTTAAAATAAAAAACACTAAAAATGATTATATATGAGACTTCAATCTTTATCAACTTTGAAAAAATCATGTTAAACATACATAACTTTAATTAGTGTTAATTAATTATAGTCGAATTCGTATTTCATAGGTATAATAACTTCATCATTTACACATAAATCGTGTCATCGGTATACTACTTAATTATATATAATAAACACGACTTATTCAAATAAAATTACATACCATCATATCCTATTCATAATTAAAAAAAAAAACCTACATAAATAATTAACAAAGCAAATTCATCCCTATACATACAAAAAATCGTCATTATAACTTTGTTCACTTTAAGGAATTTGGGGAAGAGTGATTGAGGGAATTTGAGAGGATTTAAAAATAATTTTTTTTTTGTTTATTTGAGTGAATTTGAAGGTAAATGAGAGTAAATTTGAAAGTAAATTTTTTTAATATGTGACGTCAATCAAATTCTACAATAATTCTTACAAACTTTACCTTCTAAATCCACTCTCACTTACCTTTAAATTCACTCAAATAAACAACAACAAAATTTATCTTTAAATCCTCTCAAATCTCTTCGATCACTGTTTTTTAAATCCATTCAAGTGAATATTTGTAAGTAATCACAAGAAAGTGTTCTAGATTTTTATGGAATGTATGACAGTGAGATATAGTTCTAATGGTTTAGGTAGGTGCAAATATCTTAAAGACAATGAAACATGGTATAAGATATTTTTGTATGCATATGCCTTTTAAAAAAAATATTTGATTTAAATTAACAAACATATACTTTTTTTCTAATCAAAATCTGACATTTATTTTCTTTAGTAAAAAAAGGTATATTATATATTCTCGAAAAAGACATTTCTGAAAAACATAATCATGTATATCTTGAAACAAATCCAACCAAAGGCTTAAACCGGAAGAGCATATCATCATGTCTTCCTTCTTCTATGGACCCATTTTATATCTTTCTTCATCTTTTCTCCATAATCTTCTTCATTTCTTCATGTTTTCAGCTATGAGTACCTGTGCTCCCATTGTTTTCTTACGGCCCACACATATCTCCTTTGTCGTTACACCATTTATTTAATATCATATCTTTAATAATAATACAAATTTTAAATAATTTGACTAAAGATAAATTATACGTCATCCAAATCCTACCAGTAGATTTTATTATTTTATTTATAAATTAAAAAATAAATAAAAGTAATTGTGATAGAAAAAGTCAAAGAAAAGCACATGACTCTTGTAAATAATGATCTTATTTGAAAAGGAAGAACAACAAGAAAATATCAGATTTCTTAGAAATGAAGTTTCCAAAAGAGGAAGCGTAGGAATAAAATATCTAAGATGGTGGAAGGAATAGAATAGGAAGAAAGAGAAGGGAGGTGGTAGATTTTTAAGTGCAACAATATAATAGAACTGTTGTTGATGTGAGTGATACATTCGTATTTTTTAAGAATTTATATTATGAAAATTTTGTTATAATAAGATAAACAATGTGAGGAAGGAAGATAACAGATATTTTTGATGGGCAGATGAAAATATCTCCATGCTAATGTAGCCTGACGGTGACGTGGCCATGGACTGGCCCCATGACACGTGTAAAAGCGCAGACAACTGTATGCCCTTTTTGTTCACCATCACCGCCCCTTTCTCTCCTCTTATTCATTCATTTCCTTCACCTTCCAATTCCCATTGCGATCAAAAATATCACACACAAACATACATATAAGATGAACAACAATTTCAGAGTTACCAGAACGCCAGAAGAAACTCCAACCACTTCTTCCACCTTCCTCAACTCTCATAACAACCCGATTCAGGTATCTTCACTCTTCGTTAACTTTTCTTTTCTTTTTACTTTCTTAATTTCTTCTTCTTCATCTTCTTCTGAGAAACTCTTCTACGGTTAGGGTTACGGATGGGATGAAGGATGCTAATTTTCTTTTTTTTTTTTTTGAAAAAGAGAAAATCTGTTCACGCTTTGCTTGCTTGATCTGCAATGGAGAATATTCTGATATTCGTAATAACTGTTTTTATTTTTTCTTTTCTTTTTAAGGCGAGATTTCGTAATCGTCTTTATTTAAATTCATTAATGATTTAAAGTCTTCCTGATATTAAATCAGAGACTTTGGAGGTATTGGCTATTGGTAAAAGTATTATTATTATTTTTTTCCTGAAATTTAAGTGGTTGTAATTAAGTGAAGTTTGGGTTTCAACTTGCATTATGCAATTCATAAATAAATATCGATGTAGAGTTTGTATATTTAATGTATGATTAGACAGGAGCTTGGTTTCATGTTATGTTTGCTTTATGAATTTAATTAATTAATTGGGTATTTTCAAAAGATATAAATCAAATAGGAAATTAATTGACGAACTTTGATCTTAAGTAACTCTGTCTGAAATCTTGCTTAAAGTTTTAATATCTGTGGAATTACAAACAACTGACTGCATATATAATATAATTATTTTGTTGTGAATTAAATTAACAAATATTTTCTAACACACAAAGTTGGTATGACTTTACCAAAAAATTAATCGGTGAGTAAGTTTCTTTTCTTAAAAGCGAAAGTTTTTATTTATTTTTTATTTTTTTATATATTTTATAATTTTAAAAATCTCATTCTCTTGAAAAATAAATTAAAGCACTAAATGTAGAGAAATTTGTTTTCCTTTCCTTTCAACTGATAGTAATTTGTTTTTATTTGCAAATTAGTGGTATACTATGTATTCTGTTAACATGATTCTGGGGTTTGATATGTATGTATCAGGGCATTAGAGAGATAGATTCCACAATGGCTGCAGAGTGGACAGATGAGAAACACAGCATGTATATAAAGTCTATAGAAGCATCTTTTGTTAATCAGTTATATGATTCTAAGCAAATGAGAGCTTCCTTTCCCTGCAAAGTAACTTCCTGTGTCCCCGCTACCACTTCTGGCCAGGTTTACTTTTTAAGTTTTTCTGCACTGACTTGTTTATAATATGAACAAAAATTAAGAAATGGGTTTGGTTGTTATCATGAATGCCATCACTATAAATCTGTAAATGCAAAGATTTGTCAATCAGGAATTAACATAGACTCGACTTTTGAGTTTGTTATGATAAAAAATCAAACATCAATTTAAGTTATTACCTTAAACATCAATAATTAGCTTATCATGGAGCTATAAGATTAGCCTGGTAAAATTTGGAAGGAAGAGTTAACCAATTTGGACTTGAAAACTCGGTCTGTAATGTGAGGCTTTTGCCTTATAAAAGATTATATACACGGCCTATGATGATCTTAAATTAACTTGTATACCTTCCCTCTCTTCTTACACCTTAACAGGACTAAGTTATTTTTTTCTTTTGAACAGTTCAAGGTACTTCGTGGCGGGTGTTGGCAAAAGATCAATTTTGAGAGAGTGAATCCGCAAACGAGTAGGATTAACCAGTGTCATGATTTGACGGAAAATCCATGGATTCAGCACTATCGATCTTCAAGCAAACAGAGAAGCACAGTTGCTCCATCCCTTCAAGAGAGTGTCAGTACCTCAAGCAAAGTTGTTGATTTAGGACAAAGGAAAGGAATTCCCTCTGGGTCAGGACATCTTCATTTGTGTGAATCTCGTGTCTGCCATAAAGATATGCTTTCTAGTGACACAGGTGACCCAAAATCTTCTTCTCCTTTGAAAATATCATCTTCAAAATTGGCTTTACTGTCTGAGCTTTCCTGCATGGCATGCTTAGCATAACCCACATTGTTTTTTTCATTTCCTTTTCTTTTGGTTGTGTTATATTTTATGTTTAAGACCAAATATGATTAACAAATGTTATCTGGTGGCCCTCTATAAAGGGTATAATAGAATTCCACCTTTATAGTGTAATTAAGTGAATGTTTAGATACTTGATTTTATAGACTATGGTTAAAATTAATTTTGAAGTAAACTATGTTTTAATGTTTTTATGTTAATAACCAACAGAGTGAGCATATGATCGAAGTTCATTTTAATTTTTTTTTTTAAAAATAAAAATAAAATATTGACCTAATCCAAAAATGCACTATTTTTGGTAAGCATTATCTAATTACTTATAAAACTTTATCTAAATGATTTGAAAGATTAATGTGATACATTTAAGAATTAGAAGAATAAAAATGAACAAATTTAAAGAAAAAAACAAATTAAATTTTAAAAATGTTAGTGATACAAAACTTGTCTTGAGTACTTAACCTAAACACATAAACACTTACTGAAATTACATCAGTATGTATTTTAAGTTGGTTTTGGATGATTCAACCTGAATCAAACCAGATACATAAGATTTCGATGGGTCTGGCATTTGCAGTGTGAAGATTATTGCTTCATGTGTGCATATTTCATCCATAACACAATAGTTTAGGTTACTGCTTTTTTGTATATCTACTCTCTGTTATGATTTATGGATTCCAAGTGTTATTCCATTTAATGAAGCATTTTAATTTGTCTGTCTGTTCCTTGCAGAGATGTCAGGCCAGAACTTTGTTGATGATGAAGTGAAAGGCAAAAAGCAGAATAAAAAAAGCAAAGTGAAACGACAGAGATCTTTAACTGATGCAAAAGACAATGATCAGGTAATATATAATTTTATATTATAACTATTTTTTGCCTGGGATCTTAGAATTTCATGTGCGTGGAGCTGAGTTATGACCATTTCAAATTGTTTTTTCAGATGGTACCTAACCGAAAATCTTCTTCTGGTGGAGATTTTACCAAAGATTTTGTTTTTGCTTGATTAAAATAGAGTGAAACTCAGTTTTGTTTCTGCAAGATTTAGAGTTGGTCACGTTAGTCTCAACTATGAAAAATATAATACTATTTTAATCCCTAAATTAAAAAATGTCGATCAATCCTAATTGATGATTACAAGAGCTGTATTATCATTGATTGACTTCCATTTTTCAAACATTAACATGTTATCAACACACTTTTTGATAAATACTTTTGATTTATTGTTATTTAAAATTCATAAAAAGACTACAAAAATTTTGTTGGTCTCTTGTTCAACAGAGTCTTGTTCATAATTTTGTAGTTTTCAAGGAATTTTAATTAACAGTAGACCAGTGTGTTAAAAAAAATGTGTTCTTATCATTTTTTTTTCAATGTGATTTTGGTTTTTTAGAACTAATGTGACTGGTCTCAAAATTTTCAGGGACAAAATAATAGTTTAGTCACTTAAAATTCGAGGAGTTATCACAAATGTGATTTGCTGTAACTTTTGTGGATGACATTATCTTACTTAGCATTGGAGTTACCAGGGAATTATTACTACTATGATGAATTCCTGAGTCAAAAAGATTCTCTGCGGAAATTGCACATGCTAATATTGTACCCAGAAATTTAATATAAAATTAATACTTGTTTATGAACACCCATGCTTTAGGGTTTTCTAGAGATGTTGGTGTCTGTCATAAAAATGATTTTGTTTTCCCTTCATGAAGTCTCTGTACATACATGAAAAACTAATTTCAGTATTTTTTTTTCCTTCTTTCCGATAGACTAAAAACTTGTTATCTTTTTTTATTTTTATTACTATCTATAAATTTAGATACATCACTAGTGATTTATTTCGGTAAAAATAATTATAACACAATGTTAAAATGTTTCCTTTTACTTAATTATCATTTTTAATTGTGAAACACGTATGATGTGTATGATTATTAATGCACCCATCTACTGAGAAAAATATCATTAACATATACTAAAAACAACAGAGAACATATAAGATATTTAAATGTGACAAGGGATTATGGAAAAAGTTAATTGATGCACAACATTAAAGAAATTGGGATAATAAATATCCTATTTATTGACTCTCATTAATAAATTGCACAAATAAATTCTAATCTAATTACTTGTCTCAAATGTCATGAAATTGTTGTAAAACTATAAATTTACAAGTCTTTTTTTTATATATAAAACACATGAACACATTTGTATTCATAAAATAATATACGTGCTAGAAATTGGGTCTTAAAAAAGATTAACATAATCAATTTGTTTTAGAAAAACCAAGCTTTAACACGAAACCTTGTTGAGTTAGAAAAAAATGGAAACTTTTTACATTAGATTACTAACAAATATAATTCATTTTCACTCAAAAATGTATGTCACTTACAAATAAATGATCCATAATATTATTATTATTAATTAATATTAATAATCATAATCATCTTTATTCCACTATTTTTGTGAAGTTAACTTTACTATTATATTTCTTCACTGTTTTTATAAAGTTAATTAAACATGCATAATTTTTTATTGTAAAATGAGTTAGAAAATGAATTTTGATCAAGAAAAAAAAGTTAATAATCCTAATTCATTATCCTGTCGATCTTTTATCACACCTAAACTATTAATTGATATTTTGTTACGAAGTACCTTAATTTTGAAGTTATTGTATATTTCCTTTTTTTTGTTATGTAAATTTTAATTTTTATATAAAAGCAACCTTTTGATTTAAAGAATAAAATAAAATAAAATTATAGTTAAAGTAAAAAACAAATATATAAAATCAAACCATTTGAATCAAATTATCTAAAACCAAGTCAGTATAATAATGAAATTAACTAAAATAGAGCCGTTGGTTGCCTCAGTCATCAGTTATCTTTTTCATATTCGTAAAATCCCTAATTAGGTTTGCGACAATTCCGCCATTTTTTTGCAGCTTCGACCTTCCGCACAATTGCATAATAGCACAATCGATTAGCTCTACAAACAGGACGTGTAACCCTTCTACGTCAGAACTTACATTTCCTCTGACTTGTAAGTATCATTGTTTAATTATTGGCTATTCCTCTTTCGCAGTGTGTCACTATTTATTTAACATGCATAATTCTGATCTCTTCTTATATTTATATAGTAATTAGCTTTACTTCTAAAGTTTTCTTCCGGGTCAAGATTCTTTATTTATGATATTTACCATGATTATAAAAATGCCAAAGAATTTGAAGGATCTAAGCATCTTAACAAACAAAAAAGCATTGTATTTTTAGGATTTTAGGTAGGAGAGGAAAAAAAGAGAATAAGCTAATGGATAATCTGAAATTGAAGTTGCTGTTGATTCGATGATTAAGGGCAACTTATAAAACACCAATCCCTATTTATACCATTATTAATTAGATTGGGATATATATTTAAACATAGTGAAACACAGAAGCCATTCTAAAGGTGATCATATATGATGCTCTCCAATATTCTAAAATGCAATAATGATATTATTATTAGGTACATTTAACACCCTCTTCGAGATGAAGCTCACTAAGCATTTGGTTAGAAGTAAACACATAAAAAGGGAAAGTAATTCATGTCTATAGTATACATGCCTTGAAAGGCTAGCAGGACCATTTGAATAATATGATTATTGCCTGAAAAGCAGGTTGGAGTATTGCTAGACCAGGGAGAAAGAAACTTCAATGGAACAATGGTTAGTGAAAATTTACTGACAAACAGTAATACACAACCAATGGTTTGGGCTGGTGTGAATCATAACCGGTCTCTACTTGATTAGAAACCAATATGCAGAGAAGTTGCCATAATAAAAAAATTAGAGAGACCCTAATTGTTAGAACTGAGAATGTTTCTTACCATCTTATTAGTTACATTCCATGAAAGCTAATATGTGAATAACCCTATCAATCTTCAAATCATTGGTCAGAAAGGAAAGGAGGAAAATAGATCAAACAAGTGATTAACTGTTAGTAGATTACCCAGTGTTCAAGTTTTTTCAACTGTATTGTTTCCTACAATGATTGATATATGATGATCAGTATCTTGATTTGAGAAAATAAACTAGTGATCAATTTGAATTTGAGATGGAACTTTTAGCATTAATGAGTGTTTATGGGCCCTTTATATAGTTTGGTTGTACTCTGCTGGCAGAGAGTTTTACACTCTATAGTGTAATGTACAACTTTTAGTATCTGTTGGAAGTGTTTAAGCTCTTTCGGTGTACAACTTCTATTATTATCTGAGAACGTTTGAAGTTTTTATAGTTTTTTTATACGAATTTGATTACAACTTTTAGATTTTTAAGTGGTTTGGTGTATAACTTTTAGTATGTGTTGGGAACTTTTAGGCTCTTTATATATATGGTTTGACATAAACTTTTAGTATGCACTAAGAGTTTTATACTCTTAAATAGTTCGTGTACAACTTTTAGTTCATCTTAAGAGTTTTTAGAGTTTGATGTATAACTTACCGGAGAGTGATTGACCTCTATAAAATGGTGTACAACATTTAATACAACTTAGAGTAATTAAACTCTTACAATAAAGTGTTGTACAACTTTTAGTAGAATAGAACGATTAAATCTTTTATATAACAACTTTTAGTACAATAAAACAATTAAATTTTTTTGTATAACGATTTGTATAGCTTAGAGGCTAAACTTTTAATATATAATATGTATCAATGTACAAGTTCTAGTATAACTTAGAGTGATTAATTAAGGTTTCAATATAGATCATTGTTCAACTTTTAATATAACTTAGAGTTATTAAACTTTTTATATAAAGGTTTGCTTATATTTTAACACAACTTAGAATGACTAAGATTTTAATATTTTAATATAGAAGGTTGTACAACTTTTAGTACTAATTTAGAGCAGTTTATTAATGCGTGACTTTTAACATAACTCAGAGATTTATAACTTTAAGTGCAAGTGATTAATATCTTAATGTACAACTTTTATATCACTAACATAATATATTTCATCTAAGACATATTTCAAATTCAACCATATCAAAAGTAAGTCTACAGAGTTATGGTTGCTCGGATATAAGTGTGAAAGATACATCCATAAGAAAAAATCTCAGCAGAATTTCAACCATAGGTTTGTGACTGCAAATAGATGTGATAAGCGTTGTGTGAACATTGTACTTAATTTCAACCATAAGTATGAGCCATGAAAGAAATAAATCAATAAAAAAAATATTATTCAAGCTTTTCAAAGTTGTCAAATAAAGATGAATAAAAATAAAAATAATTATAATTTGGCTGATAAACTATGATTTATTGATTACCAACTGATAACATAAAAATAAAAATAATTGTAATTAAGTAGTTAATCTATAATTTTTCAATTAATGCAAAATATATATTATTGAATAATAATTGAATTGTTATTTGTAATTTATAGTTATTAATATAATTAATAAAATTATTAATGATAAATATTCTCCACATGCTTGAATGTGGTAGTTACCGTTTATTTACCAATTATGTTATATTTTAGTTGTAAACTAAAGGAAATTTAAATAAAAATAATATCGAAGGCTATTACCTTTTTGTGTCTGGTATTTAGAATTTGTGATTAAGGAAAGTTTTGGGATAAAACTAATTTTGTATAAATTTTTTTTATGTACAACGGCAACAACAAAATGGATTCTTTTAAAAAACACAAATTGAATAATTAAAAGTGATTTGATAATAATATTTTCATGAATCCATAGTTGCGACGTGCCCTTAGTGATAATTATATATCTTAAAATTTTCGCAAAATACACCACACAATAAAATTATTAAATATTAACTAATTTTAAAGATAAAAATAATTAACAATTTATAATAATAATTAATTTAGACGTTTATTTATAAATTAAAAATTTATTAATATTTAAAGTAGTCTGAATAAAAATTTTAATTAATTTGTAATAAACTAAAACTTAAATTAATTTTAATATTAGATACTAAGTTTTAACCATTAAGATTTTAAATATTAATATCTTTTAATTTATAAATTAGTATTTAAATTAATTATTATAATAAAAAATTAATTTTTATTTTTAAGTTATTGTTTAATAATTTTTTTTGTAGTGATATTACGGGATAAAGTTATAATCTCATATATCAACTAAGTCAAATAAAATTAAGTTCGGAAAATCTACACCACATCTTATTAGTTTTTGGGGTTTCATATATAAGTGGATTGAGGCTATGGTGCATGATTGTAATTTGTGGCCCAATTGCAACATTTATTTTGAGACTGTGAATAATGAGTTATTGTATGCATTTTGGAAAGTAGCATATGGAGATCAATGGAGGCCATCTTACAGAGAATGATTAAATGGACTCTTACATGTAAAGGAACTCAAATCACAGTACAGCTAACCTAGACTGAGTGAAGAAGAAGCATGAATACTAGAATGTCGTGTCTATGGACCGAGTAAGTATGTTTATTTGATTTGTCATGCATAGAATATTTATTTACTTTATTATTTTAGTTACTTTCAACGTACTATTTTTGTAATGGTTGTATTTATTTAATAACTTTTTCAGTAGTCTAATGACATTTTATTTGATTGAGTCACTTGTGAAATTGTTTAATTTGTGACTTGTAAAGGCAAGTGATAAACACAATCTTTTTGAAAA